TCTCGTCAGCTTCTAAAAATGTACTAGTATTTTTTTGTACAACTCCTGCACTTCATATTCAGCATAGGTTTCTTTCCCAGTTGGAATTATTTTTTAAAGAACAACTTGTTTTTATGCCTTTGAACTTGTAATCTGCCGTTCTGCCACATTGACTAAAGCCCATGAAACCGAACTTTTGTTTCTTACTCGTTCTTTAACACTTCAGTCTTAATTCCTTTGGCGCAAATGTTTCCCAATCTTGCAGTCAGAAACGGGAAGTTATAACTGAGAACAAAGAACTGGCAGACCAATTAAATACATACTTCAGTTCTTTGTTCAAAAAGGAGGACATGAATATAATCCCAAAAGTGCTGGGAAACCGCAGGGTCTTTTGAGAGGGAAGAACTGAAGGAAATCAGTATTAGTATGGAAAGGGTGTTTGGAAAGTTGATGGGATTAAAGGGCAATCAATCCCCATAACCTGATAACCTACATCCCAGAGTAGTTAAAAGAGGTGGGTTAAGAAATAGTGGTTGCATTGGTGGTCATCTTTTGAGATTCTGTAGACTCTGGCACAGTTCCTATGGATTGGAGGGTAGTTAATGTAACCCCATTATTTAAATGTAGAGAGAAAACAGGGGAATTATCGCCTGGTTAGCCTGACATTGGTTATGGCAAAAATGCTAAACTCCATTTTAAAAGATTTAATAGCTGAGCATTTAGAAAACAGTGACTGCATTGGATGGCATCAATGCAGATTTACAGAAGTAAAACCATGGTTGACAGATCTACTACGATTTTTCAAGGATGGAATCTCACAGAAAAATAATGAGACAGGGTAAATGCAGGAAAGATATTCCTGATGCCGGGGGAGTCCAGAACTGGGATTACGGTCTAAGGATACGAGTAGACCGTTTAGGGCTGAGATGCGAAATTTCTTCACCCAGAGAGTGGTGAGCCTGTGAAATTTTCCGCCACAGAAGGCAATTGAGGCCAAACATTGAATATTTTCTATAAGGAGTTAGATATGGTTCAGATAGAGTTAGCTGAAGTGAACTGTGTGGATAGATTAGGAGGAATGACAATAAACAAGCAGTGGTAGGCACTTAAACAGGTAATTCATGACTCAGCAAAAATCCATCCAAGTAAGGAGGAAAGATTCTAAGAAAAGTATAAATCAACCACCAGTAACGAAGGAAGTTAAGGAGACTGTTAAGTTGAAAGGTAAAGTATATATGGAGGCCAAAGTCAGCAATAGCCCCAAAGACTGGAATGAGTTCAGAATCCAGCAAAGCACGACAAGAGAGAGAAAGCAAACTATTAGTGTGAATAATATTAAAAAGAAACTGACCATTAGAACTTCTTATGAAGAGGGAGGTAAACATGAACATAGGCCCCCTTAGAAAATGAATCTGGGAAGACGGTTTTGGGGAACAAGTAAATGGTACAGGAGTTACTTTTAGTCTTTACAGTGGAAGATACTTCAAAAGAACACAGGGGACGATATAAGTGCCATCACTATCACTAAAAAGTAGCATTAGACGAACTAATGGGGCTAAGGGCAAATAAATCCCCTGATGGTGTTGCATCTTAGGATCCTAAAAGAGGTAACTGCAGAAATAGTGAATGCTTTTGCAGTAATTTTACAAAAATCGTTGGATTCCGGAGAAGTATTATAAGATTAGAAAACTGATAATGTGATACCTCTATTTTGAAAGGAAGGAAAGCAAAGAATGGATAACTATAGTCTGATTAGCCTAACATCTGTTGTTGGAAAAGCATTAGAATCAGTTATTAAGAAATTAATAGCAGAAGATTTGGAAAATCCTAATCTAATCAAACAGAGTCAGCATGGCTTCATGAAAAAGAAATTGCATCTGACTAATTTATTAGAGTTTTTTGAGGAAGTCTCAACCAGAGTGGATAGACAGGAACCAGTCGATATGTTGGAGTTGAATTTCCAGAATGCTTTCGAAAAGGTACCTCACAAAAGGTTCATGTTAAAGTCCACAGTGTTGGAGGTAATATATTGGCAAGGATAGAGAATGGACTCATGGACAGGAAACAGCAAGTGGAAAGAAAGGGTTCTTTTTCAGGTTGGTGATCCATGACCAGGGATCAGTGCTAGGCCAACAACTGTTTACAATATATATCAATGACTTGGAGGAAAGAAATGACCATACTATAGCCAAATTTGCAGACGATGTGGAAAGGCAGGATACAAACAGTTTACAGAGAGATATTGGTAGGTGAAGTAAATGTGCAAAATGTTGGCAAATGGAGTATAATATGGGAAATTGCAAAGTTGTTCATTCAGAGGGAAGAACAAAAGAACAGAATATTATTTAAATGGAGAAACACTGCAGAAAGCTGCAACATAAAGGGATTTGGTGGTACTTGTGCAAAAAACACAGAAAGCTAGCACGCAGGTACAGCAGGTAATTAGTGGAATGTTGGCCTTTATTTCAAAGTGGTTGGAGTATAAGAGTAGGGAAGTCTTACTGCAACTGTACAAAGTGCTGGTGAGATCACATCTGGAACAGTTTTCATCTCTTTATTTAAGGAACAATATCATTAGGTTCACGAGGATGATCCCTGATTTCAATTGATTTATTATTGTCACATGTACCTAGGTACAGTGAAAAGCTTTGTTTTGTGTGCAGTACAGGCAGATCATGCCGTACAAAATGCATTAGGGTAATAAAACAGAGTGAGGAATACAATGTTATAGATGCAGAGAAGGTGCACAAAGAGCACATTAAATTAAAAGTCTGAAAAGTCCACTCTGAAGTCTAACAACGGTGGAGACGAAGCCGTTCTTGAATCTGTTGGTATGTGTGTTTAAGCTTTTGGGTCTTTTGCCTAACATAAGAGTTTGGAAGAGATTATACCCAGGGTGGAAGGGGTCTTTGATTATATTGGCTGTCTTCCTGAGGAATGAGAAGTATTGATGGAGTCAATGGATAGAACGTCGTCTCGCATGATGGACTGGGCTGTGTTCACAATTCTGCGCAGTTTCCTATGGTCCTGGGCAGAGCAGTTGCAGTACCAAGCCATGATGCATCCGGACAGAATGCTTTCTATGGTGCATCTGTAGCAATTAGTAAGAGTCTTTATGGACATGCTGAATTTCCTTAGCCTCCTGAAGAAGTAGAGGCATTATTGTGCTTTTTTGACTATCGCATCATCTTGGTTGGACTAGGACAGATTGCTGGTGATTGTCACTTCCAGGAACTTGATGCAGTCGACCATCTCCACCTTTGCATCATTGATGCAGGCAGGGCCATGTCCTCTACTCCACTTCCTGAATTCAGTGAACAGCTCCTTTGTTTTGCTGATGTTGATGGAGAGATTGTTATCTTTACACCATGCCACCAAGCACTGTATCTCTTCCCTGTACTCAGTCTCATCATTGTTTGAGATCTGGCCTACAACGGCAGTGTCATCAGCAAATTTGTTGATGGAGTTAGAATGAAATTTGGCCGCGCAGTTATGAGTGAGTATGGTAAGCGGCTGAGTACGCAGCCATGTGGGGTGCAAGCCATAGAGTCATACAACACAGAAACAGACCCTTCGGTCCAACCAGTCTATGCTGAACATAATCCCAAATTAAACTAGTCCCATCTGCCTGGTCCTGGCCCATTTTGCTCCAAATCCTTCCTTTTCATCTATCCAAATGTCTATTAAATACTGTAATTGTATCTGCGTCCATCACTTCCTCAGGAAGTGTATAAGCCCTACCCTGGTTTGTTGTACCAAAATGCAGTACCTCACATTTATCCAGATTGAACTCCATCTGACATCTTTCAGCCCATTGACTCATTTGAAGAAGTATTGAGAATTATTGTGGAGGAGGTGTTGTTGCCTGTTTTCACTGATTGTGGTTTGTGGGTCAGGATGTCAAGGATCCAGTTGCAGAGGATGGAGCAGAGATGTAGGTGTAGGTCTTGGAGTGTGGAGATTAGTTTGGTTGGAATTATGGTTTGAAGACAGAGCTGTAGTCAATAAGTAGGAGCCTGACATAGGTGTTGTATGGCTAGGGAGCTGATGTCTGTCATGGACCTGTTGTGCCAATAGGCAAATTACAATGAAGCAGGGTAGGCTGGGAGGCTAGAGTTGATATGAGCAATAACTAACCTCTTGAAGCACTTCATAATTATGGAGGTCAGAGCTACCAGGCAGTAGTCATTGAGCCTCTCTGCATGAGTTTTCTTTGTTATCGGAATAATGATGGTCATCATGAAGGAGATGAGGACTTCAGGTTATAGTAAGAAGCAGGTGGAGACTTCTGATCATAGTAAAGAGGGATTGTCTTTTGAGCAAAGGTTAAACAGGTTTGGTCCCTCCTCACTGGACTTTATAAAAAACATATAGAATTCTTAAAGGGGCTTGACAGGGTAAATGCTGAGATGATACTTCCCCCTCATGGGACAGTCTAGGGCCAAATGGCATAGTCTCAATAAAAAGGTGCTAATTTAGTAGATGAGGAATTGCTTCTGTGAGAGTTGAGAGTCTTCGGAACTCCTTTCCAGAGACAGTTGTCGGGGTAGAGTCCTTGTGTATGTTTAAGGTGAGATAGATTCTTGATCAGTAGGGGAATCAAGGTTATGTTGAAAGGACAAGAAAGTCGATGTGAGGAATGTCAAATCAGCCATAGTCCTGGAGAACGGCAGAGCAGGCTTGAGGAGCCGAGTGGCCTACTGCCATTCCTCTTTCTTATGGTTTTATGGTCTTTTGTAATAACTCTGGAAGAGATTACTAATAGATCCACTTCCTGCAGCATGTGGTGAACTATGTAAACTTCAAATCAATGATGATGTTTTGAAAACAATCAAGCACGGCTGTTTCATTACTCCCCTTTGATTCATAATCACATGATGTTGAGATTGATTACAGTTCTTTGAAATTAGGTTTTTAACAAGGACCTTTATGCTGATACACCCTCTCTTTCACTTTGTAGTTAAAACTGTTTTATACTGTACTAATGCCTGTTTTTATCCTTTTTCCCCATACAATTTCAGCAAATTTTGCTACAAGGCAACAGGTAAGAGATTGTTGTGTGTGTTACATGTAAGAAATTAGATTTCTGTGTGGGGTTGAAAGTGAGCAGGGAAGATGAGTAAGAGGTAATGGTGAAGTGTGAATGTAAATGGACTAGAAATTCAGAAGCGCAGGCTGATGGACACAGGTTCGAATCCATGGCAAATGGTGAAATTTGAATTCAATTAAAATCTGGAATCAAAAGCTAGTCTGTTGATGCCCATGTAACAATTGTCAATTACTGTAAAAGCCCACTTAGTTTACTAAAGTCATTTATGGAAAGAAATCTGCCATCCTTACCTGGTTATGACATTCCAGATGCACAGCAATGGTTGACTGTAAACTGTCCTTTGAAATAGCTTAGCAAGCCATTCAGTTGAATCAAACTGTTATGAAGTCTAAAGAAAGAAACAAAACCAGACAACCACCTGACATCAGCCTAGGCACTGGAAGCGACAGTAGCAAAAACAGCTCTGTAAATCCTGCAAAGTCCCCCTTCCCAACATCTAGGGGCTCATGCCAAAATTGGATGTCCTGTCTTACAGACTAGACAAACAACAGCCTGACATAGTCATAGAGATAGTAGGAACTGCTGATGCTGGAGAATCTGAAGAAGGGTCTCGACCCGAAACGTCAGCTTTCCTGCTCCTCTGATGCTGCTTGGCCTGCTGTGTTCATCCAGCTCTACACCGTGTTATCCCTGACATAGTCATACTCATAGAATCATACCTTGCAATGATCCAGACACCACCATCATATCCCTGATATGTCCTGGCCTACTGGCTAGACAGACTTGCTGATGTGGTGACACAGTATACGATCGGGCAACAGTTGGGCTTGGGAGTCCTCAGCATTGATTGCAGACCCTATGAACTTTCATAGCACCAGATCAAACATTAGTGAGGTAACAAAAAACAAAATTGCTGGGGAAAAGCTCAGCAAGTCTGGCAGTATCTGTGGAAAGAAAGCAGAGTTAACATTTCAGGTCCAATGACCCTTCTTCAGAGCCGACAGCCATAATATTGGACTGCTCATGCATGCAATAGTGAGGACTAAGCAATCACAAGCCAACAGATCAGGTCTAAGCTTTGCGGTCCTACAGCATCCAGTTGCAAATGATGGTGGACAATTAAGCAACTAACAAGAGGTGGAGGCTGCACAAATATCACCATCCTCAACAGTGGCTGAGCCCCAGCACGTTAGTGCAAAAGGTAGGGCTAAAACATTCACACCAATCTTCAGCCAGAAGTGCCAAATGGATGACCCATCCTGGTCCAATATGGTAACATCCCATAAACACACCCTTGACAAGAGGCAAATTCAGAAAACAGATTGCCTCACATGCAACTCCAGCAGCCCAGGAGGAAAAACATCAAGAGAATTCAAGAGACGGTAGCAGGGACAGATGTACTGCAGCAACAACTGCTACTGAAAAGCTAAAAAACCAGAAATCCTGGTTCCATGGGAGCTTGACCACTCTCATTCAGGCTGTTCTACTGTTCCAACTTTAAAGAAAAACCCAAGGCATCACAAGCTATTTACTTTCAGTTTTCAGTAGACATCTTGGTATATCTGTCTTAAAATCTTTCTTTTTAAAAAAAAGGACAAAATAACCTCTTAAAGCCAAAGTATCATCACAGCATATCAAATCCAATTTCAACCAAGTCAGTTACCACCCCACCAGTTGACTCAATCATCAGGAAAGTGATGGAAGGGTCATCAACAGTTCTATCAACCAGCACTTCTTGCAAAGGGACAGCCATGTTCATTGCTCAGTTTGGATTTGATTAGGGCCGCTCAGCTCCTGCGTCATGGGTCAAACATTGTCAAAAGAACTGAATTTTAGGCATGAAGTGAAAATGACTGCCCTTGACATCCAGGCAGCATTTGACTGTGTATGACAACAAGGAGCCCGATCAAAATTGGAGTCAGTGGGAATCAAGGGGAAAATTCACCGCTGGTTGAAATCACACATAATGCAAAGCAAGGTTGTTGGAGCTCATTCATGTCAGTCCTGCAACAACTCTGTAGGAGTTCTTCAGGGTAGTGTCTTAAACCCAACTGCCTTCAGCTGCTTCATTAATGACCGTCTCTCCATTATAAGGTCAGAAGTGGGGATGTTAGGTGATGATTGCATCAACATTCAGCACCATTTATGACTCCTTAGGTACTAAAGCAGTCTGTGTCCATGTGCAGCAAGAGCTTCACAATATCCAGGATTGGACTAAAAAGTGAATAGTAACACTCATGTTATGGAGTGCCAAGCAAAGGCCATCTCCAACAGGAAAAAATCTAACCATCACCCCTTCACATCCAATGGTGTTGCCATCACTGGATCCCCCTTTTCAACATCTGTGGGTTACTATTGACCAGAAACTGAGCTGCACCAGCCATATAAATACAATGGCTACAAGGGTAGGTCAGAAACTAGGAATTCAGTGGTGAGTAGCTCACCTCCTGTCTCCGCTTTGGCTGTCCACGATCCACAAGACCAGGAGTATGATGGAATGTTCCCCACTGGCCTCAACAACACTCAAGAAACCTGACACCATCTAGCACAAAGTAGCCCTCCCAGTTTGTACTCCACCTGGCACTTCCAAGGTTCACTCACTGTTGGGCTATAACCTGGTGTTGTGTGATTTTTGACTTTGTCCAACACTGATGCAGTGTAGACCATCTACAGAATGAACTGCAAAATTTCACCAAGGCTCTTCTATCAGCAGCTCCCAAACTTGCAACCTCTACCACCTAGAAATTTGGGAACAATACCATCACAAAATCATCCTCCAACCTGAGTTGGAACTGTATTGACATTCCTTCACTGTTACGAGGCCAAATTCTGGATAGAGATAGTATGAACTGCCGAAGCTGGAGTCAGCGATAACACAGTGTGGAGCTGGAGGAACACAGCAGGCCAGGCAGCATCAGAGGAACAGGAAAGCTGACGTTTCAGGTCGGGACCCTTCTTCAAAAATGGCGACAACCTCTACATAAAACGGTTTTCTCTGCAGCTCCTCAAGCACACTCTCTTAGCAATGCACCGGCATCTTCTGGCCCTACAATGAAGCCTACCTCAGCTCACAGCCTCCCTCTCCCAGACCTGCAAAGGACCTCTTCTGTTTTTCATTCTGCGCAGGACCACAACATCAACCTATGATTTTACTCCGCCCTATCTGACATTAAAAACCATAAATACACTAAACTTACCGGTGCCTGCCACCAAACACAGGCCTCTTCCACCCCCCAAGTCCTCAACCGTACCGAGGACCTCCTCCACAATGTGCCTGGCGCCATTGACCATATGGTCACCATCGCTGACGCCACCGATCTCGTCACATCCACTGACGTCGGTCACGTCCGGTACCGCAAACCATGGCTCCGTGGATACCACCCACATTGCAGGCGCCACCCACACCGTAGACACCGCTGCTTCCGTCACCGAGACTGAGAGCGCTGCCTTCGTCAAGGATGCCCATGTCACTGTCAACGTCAACATCAAGGGCGACGTCACTTTCACCGACGTCGCCCCACTCACTGCTGACGTCGCCCCAAACTCCACCCCCACAGCCAACAGCTCTACACCCAGTCCCAGCCCCAAATCCTGCCGGGTTTTCTCTGTCCCCCCAGAGCACCCCCTCATTGAGGACAAACGGTCAGTCCTCGGTAAAGGACTCACCTTCATTCCCCTCCGCCCACACATCAATGAATACCTCTCATGTCTGGACATCACACAGTTTTTCTGTCACCTCCGCGCCTATTTCTTTAACTGTGGGTCTAACCCTCCCTCTACAGATCCCTTCTCCCACCCTCCAACACACCTCATCCTCCTGGACACCGCCCCCAGGCTTCCTACCCTCCCTTGACCTTTTCATCTCCAACTGTCGTCACGACATCGATCGCCTCAACCTTTCCACCCCTCTCACTCACTCCACCCTCTCCCCCACAGAACGTGCAGCCCTCTGCTCCCTCCGCTCCAACCCTAACCTCACCATCAAACCCACAGATAAGGGAGGCGCCGATGTGGTATGGCGCACTGACCTTTACATTGCTGAGGCCAAGCGCCAACTCTCTGACACCTCCTCCTACCGCCCCCTTGATCATGACCCCACCCCTGACCACCAAAACATCATCTCCCAGACCATCCATAACCTTATCACCTCAGGTGACCTCCTGCCCACAACCTCCAACCTCATTGTTCCCCAACCCCATACCACCCGTTCCTATCTCCTTCCCAAAATCCACAAACCTGACTGCCGCGGCCAATCCATTGTCTCCGCCTGCTCCTGCCCCACTGAACTTATCTCCGCTTACCCTGACTCTGTTTTCTCCCCCTTGGTCCAGGAACTCCCCACCTACATCTGGGACACCACCCACGCCCGCCACCTCCAAGACTTCCAATTCCCTAGCCCCCAACACCTCATCTTCACTATGGATGTCCAGTCCCTATACACTTGCATTCCCCACACACATGGCCCAGAAGCCCTCCGCTCTTTCTCTCCCGTAGGCCCAACCAGTCTCCCTCCACCGACACCCTCATCCACTTAACCAAACTCGTCCTTACCCTTAACAATTTCTCCTTCAACTCCTCCCACTTCCTACAGTCGAAGGAGGTGGCCATGGGAACCTGCTATGCCTGCCTCTTCGTAGGATACGTGGAACCGTCCCTCTTCCGCAGGTACACTGGCACTATCCCCCACCTCTTCCTCCGCTACATCGATGACTGCATCCAAGAACAAAGAAAATTACAGCACAGGAACAGGCCCTTCGGCCCTCCAAGCCTGCGCCGATCCAGATCCTCTATCTAAACCTGTCGCCTATTTTCCAAGGATCTGTATCCCTTTGCTCCCTGCCCATTCATGTATCTGTCCAGATACATCTTAAATGATGCTATCATGCCCGCTTCTACCACCTCCGCTGGCAACGCATTCCAGGCACCCACCACCCTCTGCGTAAAGAACTTTCCATGCATATCTCCCTTAAACTTTTCCCCTCTCACCTTAAAATCGTGACCCCTAGTAATTGAGTCCCCCACTCTGGGAAAAGCTTCTTGCTATCCACCCTGTCTATACCCCTCATGATTTTGTAGACCTCAATCAGGTCCCCCCTCAACCTCCGTCTTTCTAATCTACTCAACCTGTCTTCATAGCTAGCGCCCTCCATACCAGGCAACATCCTGGTGACCCTCCTCTGCACCCTCTCCAAAGCATCCACATCCTTTTGGTAATGTGGCAACCAGAACTGTACGCAGTATTCCAAATGTGGTCGAACCAAAGTCCTATACAACTGTAACATGACCTGCCGACTCTTGTACTCAATACTCCGTCCGATGAATGAAAGCAAGCCTATGCTTTCTTGACCGCTCTATCAACCTGCGTTGCCACCTTCAGGGTACAATGGACCTGAACACCCAGATCTCTCTGTGCATCAATTTTCCCCAGGGCTTTTCCATTTACCATATAGTTCACTCTTGAATTGGATCTTCCAAAATGCATCACCTTGCATTTGCCTGGATTGAACTCCATCTGCCATTTCTCTGTCCAGCTCTCCAATCTATCTATATTCTGCTGAATTCTCCGACAGTCCCCTTCACTATCTGCTACTCCACCAATCTTAATGTCATCTGCAAACTTGCTAATCAGACCATCTATACCCTCCTCCAGATCATTTATGTATATCACAAACAACAGTGGTCCCAACACAGATCCATGTGGAACACCAGTGGTCACAGTTCTCCATTTTGAGAAACTCCCTTCCACTACAACTCTCTGTCTCCTGTTGCCCAGCCAGTTCTCTATCCATCTAGCTAGTCCACCCTGGATGCCATGCGACTTCACTTTCTCCATCAGCCTACCATAGGGAACCTTATCAAACGCCTTACTGAAGTCCACATATATGACATCTACAGCCCTTCCCTCATCTATTAACTTTGTCACTTCCTCAAAGAATTCTATCAAGTTGGTAAGACATGACCTTCCCTGCACAAAACCATGCTGCCTATCACTAATAAGCCCATTTTCTTCCAAATGTAAATAGATCCTATCCCTCAGTATCTTCTCCAGCAGCTTCCCCACCACTGATTTCAGGCTCACCAGTTTATAATTTCCTGGATTATCCTTGCTACCCTTCTTAAACATGGGGACAACATTAGCAATTCTCCAGTCCTCCGGGACCTCACCCGTGCTCAAGGATGCCGCAAAGATATCTGTTAAGGCCCCCGCTATTTCCTCTCTTGCTTCCCTCAGTAACCTGGGATAGATCCCATCTGGACCTGGGGACTTGTCCACCCTAATGCCTTTTAGAATACCCAACACTTCCCCCCTCCTTATGCCGTATCGGCGCTGCTTTATCATCAACTTTACTAACACCTTTCACCCCAGCCTCAAGTTCACCTGGACCATCTCTGATAACACTCTCTCCTTCCTGGACCTCTCTGTCTCCATCTCTGGTGACCACCTCAAACCTAATATCTATTTCAAGCCCACCGACTCCCACAGCTACCTAGACTACACCTCCTCTCACCCATCTTCCTGCAAGAATGTGATCCCCTACTCCCAATTCCTCCGCCTCCGCTGCGTCTGCTCCCAAGATGGTCCCACTCCCGAACATCCCAGATGACCTCTTCTTTCCAGGATCACAACATCCCCCCCTTCAGTGGTGGAAAATGCTCTCGACTGCATCTTTTGTGTTTCCTGCACCTCTGCCTTCACATCCCCTCCCCAAAACAAAAACAATGACAGAATCCCCAGTGTCCTCATGTATCACCCCACTAACCTCCGGATTCAACATATCATTCTCCGCCACTTCCGCCACCTGCAATCTGACCCCACTACGAATTTATATTTCCCTCCCCACCCCTCTTTGCCTTCTGTCGGGACCATTCTGTCCGCTACTCCCTTGTCCGCTCCACACTCCCCACTAGCCCCGCCACTCTTGGCACCTTTCCCTGCAACCGCAGGAGGTGCTACACCTGCCCCTACACCTCCCCCCTCACCTCCTTCAAGGAACGAAAAAAACCTTACACATCAGACAGATGTTCACCTGCACATCCGCTAAGCCCATTTCCCCAGCCCTAACCCTCCTCTCTCTATTTATTTCTGAGTTCCCTTCCCCCTCCCCATTTCTGAAGAAGTGTCCCGACCCAAAACGTCAGCTTTCCTGCTCCTCTGATACTGCCTGGTCTGCTGTGTTCCTCCAGCTCCACACTGTTGAATCACATTCTGGATAGCTGTTCTCACAGTAATGTTAGTATCCTTACATCCCAAGGACTGCAGTGTTTTAAGAAGACAGCTTGCCACCATTTTGTCCAGGACAGTTAGGAATGGCAATAAATTTTAGCCAAGCCACTAACAGTCGTGTTCCATGAACAAAGAAAAAGGAAAGATTCTGCTATTTGCCCAGTCTCATTGAAGTGGGGTTCTCTCACAGTTGGAAGGAGCAAGTGCAGGATATCTCAACATAAGTCATTGGCAAGAAGACTGTTCTGGTTCTGAGTCTCAAAAAGATCAGCCATGATCTTATTAAATAGCGGGGCAGGCTCGAGGGGCCAGATGGCCTACTCCTGTTCCTGGTTCTTATGTTCTTATGTTACTGCGTGGCATTATCCAAGGCCAGAAATGGACTATTTTTCTTTCTCTTTTCTCTTTCTTCCACCTTCCCTCCTTTCCTCCCATCTCTCTCTCTCCCTCTGTATCTTTTACACATACACAAACACACATACACAGAGCCACAATAATGGAGAAATTGAGTATGGAGGGAGTGGGTGGCAAGCTGAAACTCAAATATTCTTTATCATGTAAGCCATGTTGTGAAAACTTGTCAAATTTCATAACTTCTCCTGATGCAATTTGAATTCATCATCTCTGCTTTGCTGCTCCGACACTAAAATGACCATAGTGCACAACTCTTTTTGTGGATTGCTAACCTACCAAACAGTCATTGTCGTTCAGAAAAAAACACGGATTCTTAACCCTTATATGTGTTTAATCCCTTCAGTCTAAACAAAACCTGTCAGATACTTCAGGATGCTTCTGTTTAAGGTGTCTTTAATACTGACTGTATCTCCATGTTTGGTTCTAGTGTCTGATCAGGAGCTAAAATAATCAAATGTTTTACTTTACATTCCACAGGTCATGATGTAATGATACGTTCCATGTGACAGACGTGAACAACGAGACAACCACTTGCTATAATGACCAACAGCAGTTTGAATCATAAGGAAATTCATTGAGACCTTCAAAGAATGATCAATTCCACTAAACTGTCTCAGTGAAGGAGCTTATCTCTGGAGACTCAACGACTCATAGTTTTAACTATTGTCTCTCCCTCTTTGCTGCTTTTACTATGCAAATGTAAAATAATGAAGTATAAAATGTTGGACTCTGAAAAATGCGCCAGTATTTGTAAAAATAAACAGGCAGCATTTGGGGAGGGGGATATTTTTCTTTCATTCCAGGTATGAGAGAATTGTGATGGGAGGCTTTGTGCATTTTGAGAGATAGTAAGAACTGCCGATGCTGCAGTCAGAAATAACACAGTGTGGAACTGGAGGAACACAGCAGGCCAGGCAGCATCAGAGGAGCCAGAAAGTTGACGTTTCGGGTCGGGACCCTGGCCTGCTGTGTTCCTCCAGCTCCACACTGTGTTATCTGTCTGCATTTTAAAGTGTTTTTTTTAAAGTACTACTCCCTCAGATGCCACCCTCTAGGAAAACAGAGCCTTACAGATGGGGTTCTGAATTTTGGCTTGTTTGCCTACGAACTTGGTGTATTTTGAAGTTCTGCCAAAGTCTTGCAAATATGGTGGGGAGATTTTTTTCTTCTATAGTGTGAATTGCTGTGCCCAAACAAATTGTACGAATAAGGGTAATTATTTTAATGCATTGAAACAATGTAAAGCCATGACCACCTTTCTACCTCAGACCCTCCTTTCTTCCAAAATGGCTCTCCTGTTATATAATTCCTGGCGTACAAAGCCTTCATCTTCATCAAACTAAATAGCATAAGGGGCCCAATTATTTGATCAGTAGTGACTTGGTGGCATCATAATACTTTTTTGTGCATCTTTTAATAAATCAGTGAGGATCAGCCCAACTTCATACACATTCATTAACAACCCCCTCCCCTCCCTAATGTCGTAGTTCCTGGCCAGTAGGCAGGCTGCACCACTACACTGTAAACTGTCTCATCTTATTTAGTTCAGTCATTGATTGACATTATATTTTAACCTGTAAAGTGTGTTGCCTTCTTGGTATACAGGCTATATCTTAAATCCTGATCACATCTGATACCACTACATACGTCATTCAAAATAAAGTTTGTTTATACAACACCGAAACGGAAGATACCTTGTGATTTTTCCTGCAGCTCCTGAAATTAATAGTTGTTGTTCTGTAACATATGTGATTTTCTCTAGTGGGTAAAGGTGAGGCTTATCGCTGTTTTCAAAGTAAAATTTGCTGTTGTATTCATAGACAGTTCATATGATTGGTATTGTCCTGACCAAAGGCAGCAGTGTGTGGTGGTGGAGGATTGTTTTTCAGACAGGAGGCCTGTTACCAGTAGTATTCCAATGAGGATCAGTACTGGGTCCACTTTTGTTTGTCATTTATATAAATGATTTAGATAAGAATATAGAAGGCATGGTTAGTAAGTTTGTGGATGAAGTCAAAATTGGTATTTTGGTGCAAAAACAAAGTTGCTGGAAAAGCTCAGCAGGTCTGGCAGCATCTGTGAAGGAGAAAACAGAGTTAACGTGTCGGGTCTGGTGACCCTTCCTCAGTCTGAGGAACCCTAATCTTTTCCAGCAACTTTGTTTTTGTTCCTGATTTACAGCATCCGCAGTTCTTTTGGTTTTTATTTGGTATTTTGGTGGACAGTGAAGAAGGTTATCGAAGATTACAAAGAGATCTTGGTCAATTGGGTCAATGGGCTGAGGAATGGCAGATAGAGTTTAGTTTGGGTAAATGGGAGGTATTGCATTTTGGTAAGACAAACAAGGACAGGATTTGTACAGTTAAAAGTAGGGCCTTTGGTAGTATTGTAGAATAGAGAGACCTAGGGGTTCAGATACATAATTTGTTGAAGTTTGCATCATATGTAGACCGTGTAGTTAAGAAGGCATTTAGCACTCTTGCCTTCATTGCTCAGACCTTTGAATATAGGAGTTGGGATGTCACGGTGAGGTTGTACAGGCAATTGGTGAGGCCTCTTCTGGAACACCGTGTCCAGTTCCGGTCACCCTGTTAGAGGAAGGATATTATTAAGCTGGAGAGGATTCAGAGAAGATTTACCAGGATGTTGCTGGAAATGGAGGGTTTAACTTCTGAGGAGAGGCTAGAAAAGCTGGGACTTTTTTCGCTGGAGGGTAGGAGGTTGTGGGGTGATCTTATCGAGGTTTATAAAATCATGAGGGGTATAGATAAGGTGAATGACAGGCATCTTTTCCCTAGAGTGTGCAATTTGAAGACTAGAGGGCATATTTTAAGATGAAAGGAGAGAGGTTTAAGAACGACTTGAGGGGGAGTTTTTTTTTAAAAGAGTAGTTGGTGTGTGGAATGAACTTCAAAAGTGGTAGATACGGGTACAGTTACGACATTTGGATAAGTACATGAATAAGAAATGTTTGAAGGGATATGGGTTACCTACAGGCAGGTGGGACTAGTCTCGTTTGGGATTATAGACGGCTTGGATCGGTTGAACTGAATGGTCTGTTTCCATGCTGTATGACTCTATAAACATGCAACGCTTAGACTTCGTGATAGATTGGTTAGCAAGGAAATGCTCACTTGTCACTTGTTTAGCAATAAGCTTTAAAGACTAGTAACAGTTGAGGATCTCAATGAACTCAATTTCTCATTATTTAGTACTCTTTTACTTTCATTCTTCCCATTGTTTGTCATTTAGGAGATTTTTTTTGTTATTTTGCTTTCCTTAAAAGTAGGCTGTGCTGTGTTCCTTCCAACCTCTGTTTGTTAAGTCCTATTTTTAAATGACCCACAGCAAATTGACTTTATTCATAGAGCTGTACAGCATGGAAACATGCCCTTTGGCCCATATCCCTCTAAAGAACATAAGAACTTGGAGCAGGAGTAGGCCGTCTGGCCCTTCGAGCCTGCTCCGCCATTCAATAAGATCATGGCTGATCCTTTCGTGGACTCAGATCCTTCCTATTCATATACTCATCCAGATGCCTTTTAAATATTGTAATTGTACCAGCCTCCACCACTTCCTTTGGCAGCTCATTCCATACGTGCATCACCCTCTGTGTGAAAAAGTTGCCGCTTAGGTCCCTTTTAAATCTTTCCCCTCTCACTCTAAAATTATGCCCTTTAGTTTTGGACTCCCCTACCTTGGGAAAAAAAACCTTGGCTATACACCCTATCCATGCTTGTCATGATTTTATAAACATCTATAACATCACCCCTCAACCTCTGATGCTCCAGGGAATATAGCCCCAGCTTATTCAGCCTCTCCCTATAGCTCAAACCCTCCAGGCCTGGCAACATCCTTGTAAATCTTTTCTGCATCCTTTCAAGTTTAACAACTTCTTTCCTATAGCAGGAAGACCAGATTGAATGCAGTAGTCTAAAAGTGGCCTGACCAATATTCTGTACAGCCAAAACATGACATCCCAACACCTATTATGCACTGACCAATAAAAGCAAGTGTAAACACCTTCTTCACTATCCTGTCTACCTGTGACTCCACTTTCAAGGAGCAATGAACCTGCATCCCAAGGTCTTGTTGTTTGGTAACGCTCCCCAGGACCCTACCATTAATTGTATAAGTCCTGCCCAGATTTGCCTTACCAAAATCAAGATAGTGGCAGCAGAGTAGGCAATGTATGGGCTTTTGTGCTTGGGGTTGTCCTCTTCTGCATTTTTCTTTTATTTTTCCTCCTACCCACTTTTTCTCAGTTACCTAAATAGAGAGCTCTTTGGCAGGAGGCAGCTTTGACAGGTTCCTGAGCAGTGGCGGCATCTTCAGAGGCAGTTCGACTACAGAGTCAGTTGGTTGGCCTGTGAAGCCTGAAGCGGGACTCTCCCTTCCATGTAGAGTAGGCCCTGGTGATGGCATGGCATGCGTTGGAAAGCCCGGAATGGGGCCCTGCTGGCAGGATGGCATGGGCTGGGAAACCCGGAACAGGACTTTAGCAGTGGCATGCTGTAGCTGCGGAGAAGGAAAAGTTGCTCAATCTTTGTGTTTTTTTATTTTATCCTAAGTTAATGTGAATGGTACCTATGTATGGGCGACAGTACACACCTTTCTGTATTTTTATATTGAATACACATGACAATAAAGGGTGTTCTATTTTCTCTTGGGTGTGAAGGTGGGGATAGGTTTAGGTGTAGGGGTGCGTTTGAAAGTGGGGTTGGGGCTATGGCGAGGCCTATGATAAGGTTAGGATGGTATGTTGCTTCTGGGTTGCTAGGGTCAAAACTGCTTTAGAGTGGCTGCAGGACATTCTGGAGGGTAAGGGTGAACAGCCAGTGATATATTTTTAGTGGTACATGCCTGCGGGGCCAGAGGGCCTCATCTGTACTGTCTGATTCTATGATTGCGGTCTGCATTGCTACCAGTGAGATAAATTTTACAAAAGGGCTGAGGTCCTAAAAGCTGAATATAGGAGGTTAGGAAGTAGTTGAAAAATAAGACCTCAAAGGAAGCGATCTCTCAGAATTGCCACCAGTGCCATGTGCTAGTTAGAGTAGAAATAGGAGGATATATCAAATGAATACACAGCTGGAAAGATGGCATGGGATTGGTCTGGGGATCTGGGTGTTATTGAAATTCCTGGGACGTTGAGACCAGTTCCGGGGCGGTACAACCAGTAGAAACAGGACAGGTTAGACCTGTGCACAACTGGGACTGATGTCCTGGGTTGAATATTTGCCAATGTGTTTGGGGGGAGGGGTTTAAACTACAGTGGCAGAGGGCTGGGATTCTGAACATGGTGACAACATAAAGAGAAACACGGTCAGTAATAGAAGAAAGAACAGTAAAATGCAAAAACGAGAGCCAAATAGGGCTGAAGTACAAAAAACAATCATTAGGATTAAAAATGATAGAAAGGCAAGCCTAAAGGCTTTGTATCTTAATGCACGAAGCATTCTGAATAAGGTAAATGAATTGACAATGCAAATCAAGGTAAATAGATATAATCTAAAAGCCATTATGGAGTTATATGGAGATCAAAACTGAAAATGTAACATTCAGGGACATTTGACCTTTCAGAAAGGGAGGAAAAACTGCTAATGAGGGATAAAATAGGTTATGAGACAATCTAGCCTCAGATGATGTTGAGTCCATTTGAGTGAAGGTGAAAAACAAAGGAAAGAAGACATTGATAGGAGTATAGAATCCCAATATTAGTCAAACTGTAGAAAAGGGTATAAATCACCAAATAATAGAAGCATGTAAAAAGAGCACTAATTATAGTTGACTTTAATTTTCGTATTGCTTTGGTTAATCAAATTGGAAAGGGTAGCTGCAATAATGAATTCATGGAGTGCATTAGGGATTATTTCTAAAGCAATATGTCATGGAGCCAACCAGGGAGCAGCCTATCTTGGATCCAGTAATGAGGCATTTTTAATAAATGACCTCAGAGTAAAATATCCCCTTGGAAGTAATGATTGTAATATGACAGAATTTCATATTCAATTTGAGAGTGAGAATCTTGGTCTAGAAATGACTGAGTTTAAGGGAGTTACAATGAAAGGAAGATAGAGTTTGTTAAACTGGACTGGGTGCATAGTTTAGCAGTAAAGAAAGTAAGCAAGCAGTTTCAGACATTTAAGGACGTCATTCATGACTCTCAGCAAAAATAAATCCCAGTGAGAAGGAAAGATTCTGAGAGAAGAATAAATCAATCATGGCTAACCAACAAAGTTAAGGAGAGTATTAAATTGAAAGAAAAAGCATATTAGGGTTAGGGTTAGGGTTAGGGTTAGGGATGGTGTTAGGGTTAGGGTTAGGGTTAGTCTTACCTGGGTTAGGGTTAGGGAGAGATGGGAGATAGAGGGAGGGAGGGATGGAGAGATGGGAGATAGAGGGGGAGAGGGATGGAGAGATGGGAGATAGAGGGAGAAGGAGGGATGGAGAGATGGGAGAGAGAGGGAGGGAGGGATGGAGAGATGGGAGATAGAGGGAGAAAGAGGGAGGGAGTTAGGGAGAGATGGGAGAAAGAGGGAGGGAGGGCGGGAGAGATGGGAGATAAAGGGTGGGAGGGTGGGAGAGAAGGGAGATAAAGGGAGGGAGGGATGGAGAGATGGGAGATAGACGGAAGGAGGGTTAGGGTTAGGGTTAGGGTTAGGGTGTTAGGGTTAGGGTTAG